CTTCGACGGCACAACCTTGGAGAAGAGCGCCCCGCTAATACAGCGACGCCCTCAGGGTCGGCATCCAACGGCGGTGGTCACGGCTGCTACTACTACTACTACTACTACTACTACTACTACCTACCACTACCACTACCACTACCACTACCACTGCCACTGCCACTGCCACTACCACTACCACTACCACTACCACTATTACTACCACTACCACTACTACTACCACTACTACGACGACGACGACGATGACGACCACGACTACTACTACTACTACTACCACTACTACTACTACTACTACTACTACTACTACTACTACAGCAACAACAACAACAACAACTACTACTACTACTACTACTACGACGACTACGACTACGACTACGACTACGACTACGACTACGACTACCTCTACTACTTCTTTGTACTACTTCTACTCCTCCTTCGAATTCTCCTTCGAGTTCTACTGCTACCGACTACTGCTACCACTACTACGACGGACGACGACTACTATTACTACTGCGACCTCCTCTCAGCCGGCGAGTTTAGAAAAAGGCACTCAGAAGCTAGAGCATCTCGTTTCGAACAAAACCCGGAGATCCCGGAATCCCTGAGGATCCAGCTCTGCAAAACATGGCGAATACAAGACGTAGGAGGTGCAGGCCAATGCTTCACAAGAACACCGGCAGGCAGAAAACTGCGGACGCAAGCCTATAGTTAGACCCGTAAAGCTCGCCGTCCTCTGAAATATGAGCAAAGCAAAGTGCAGGAGCCATGGCCTAAAGGTCAAAACAAACCAACCTGCCAAGCAAGCAACCGAGTAGCATCACTAGCGCAGATAGCCAGTTCAACATCTTTATAAAACAAGACACTGCACTCACGCGCAGCCGATCCAGACAACGGGAACGATCGAGTTGCAAAGGTTGTAAGGAGGTGAAGGATAACGTGCTACAGTCTTGGGTTTATTCTCCCCCCAGCCATTCGAATGTGGCTCGAATAATTGCTTCCTCCGTACTTAAGACATTGGATTTTTGCTGGGGGGCAGAGGGGTTAAGGGTTCGGGTTTAGAGTTCCGTTCAGGGTAAGTAACAAGTAATATGAGTACAAGCTTTTGGGCTTCAGGCTTTAAGGCTTCAGGATTGAGGGGTTGGGATAGCCAACAACCTTTCGAACTTCCCTCCAAGAACTGCCCTCCAATGTTCAATATATGCAGCCGCAAAGTAAAGTATTCCAGAACCTGTTGCCCCTGATCTCATGGCTTCATTCATGTCTGGCCGAGCCTTAGACGATACACGTATCTCACCGGCAGTTACACGTGTGAACTGCGCAAGACCCTGGAGAGCCTCGGGGACCTCTGCGACGTCGCAACAATGCGACATGTTGTGAAACCACGGCTGCATGCAAGGTGAGAAGATTAAGCTAGTTTTCAAGCCAAACACAGATTGGATTGGCCGGAGACAGCCTCTTGCCTGAAGCCTTGGAGATCTAAGGTTTGATTAGCTCATTGCCGTATGAGTTGAACATGTGCAAAATGCGAAATAACACCTAGCTCCGACAGTTGCCCTCAACACTAACACATGTGTTGCCTTCGGTGTCTAGATGTACCATTATGCACAAAAACCTTTATGCACGAATGTAGCGATAGAACCTGGTCACCACTGCAGGAGCTTCTCGCAGTTGCGTGGAGGAGCCCGTCAATCCAGTGATCAAAAAATATGCATAACCACGACAACCCTACTTCAAATCAGTACACAGTCCGATGGGGGGCAGGGTTCTACAAAACTAGATTCCGCAATAATTTTGAATCGCTGACTTCGACTTGTCAACACAAACCTTCGAGGCAACGACACATGAGTTTGTAAAGCCTTCATCGCCACTGTAGTCTTACGGAGTAACGCGATTGTCCATGGATGGCAAAACGCCAACGACGGCCCGTTTTTGCTGTTACAACTGCTCCTAATTGCATGTTCATGACCGCTATTCCGCTTCTTATTCTGTCTACCTTTGCTGAAATTATGTATTTCAACATTATTGGGACAGGTGTGCTCAAATATCTATACATGTCCAGGACGTCGCCTTCTATTCCTATGTAGTAACTGCCCTGCGGCATCGTTCCTATGGGAGTCAGCTTGCATTTCGAAGCTACCCAGTTCTAAGCCGCTGGTCCACTGTCTGTATGACCCGGGCATGTCGAAATCACAGGCTCCGGTATTCTGCCTGAATCATCCATAGCGCATGATTCAGTACTTAAGTACTTGCTATTTAATTCCACACACACACACACACGTTTGCAACCTTAGACCCCAGGCATGACAGGAAAAGGCGGAGTCATGGAGTCAATGTGGAAGCGATGCTCAAACCAAAGGTGCCATTACTGCCTGACAGAGACGGGCAGGACCTACAAACTACTCTTGTATCAGATGGCATTGGGGGAACGACCAATGGCAACACGGCGGCGATGACCGCCACTACCTTCCATTCATCAGACTATCCCATCATCTCCCTCGTTTTCATGGCCATGACCCGCATCGACATAATGATCGCGATCATCTTGTAATATGCCAAACCTTGTTCCGCTAAATCAACTCAATGTCTTCGTCATGATGCACGATATCGTATCTTCAACACTCTCCGTCATCCTTGCAGCTCCAGCAGGACTCCAGCACCATCACCATCCTCATCTTTATCCCAATCTTCAATTCCTACCTTCTCAACAGCATCCCCCAGCTTTCTCATCTTGAACATCCTCAGCATCTGCATCATATCACAGAAAGCCCAGGCTTCGGGAATTCGGTCACCCTGACACCATGAGTTCCGGGTTGGGCCGAATGCAATGTATGGCAGAATAGCATCGGGCCCCGGGTCTAGAGTCTATAGAGTTTCCAGATAAAGGGCTACGATTCGAGTTGCGAAGGCGTATCGGCTGGGGGACTTCCGTGGAGCAGACTCCAACTTGGGGCGCG